GGCCTGGTCGACCAGAAATGCTTTCTGGAAAATTTCTGTCCAAATCTGGAGCCTCTGGTCGACCAGGTACATATCTGGTCGACCAGACAGAGATTTTTCAGACTCTCTGTTTCTGGTTGTTATATCTGGTTAGTATTTTGACTGTAACTTTCTCATCCGATATCGGAATGAGGTGATTTAAGATTTGTTAGAAAGCTCTTGAAGATACCTACAACTTTGGTCTTTTGAGTTTTTCCAGATTATAATTTCTAAGGGGTGTAAATGAAATGTTTTAAGACTCACTCAATATCTATAAACTCTAATGGCTAACATAGGGGATTTCTATTGTTAACCAACACACTAAGCATGTGTTAGTGTGTTCTAACACTATGTGTGTGCTTGTGTGTGAGTGATCAAGGCTTGTACAAATTTCTAAGCAAAGAAAATATAAAATTACATTTTGACAATAAAGTATATCTTCTTCTTTGCTTCATTTTGCCTTGAACTCATCTATGTCTTGAGTATCTCTTTGAATATAATTGTCGATATAACTCTGATACTACAAAATAAATGTTAGCACATAATACACACAACATATAATATTTGTTATCATCAAAACAAACTAATCTTGGGGTCAAGATTCCTAACATGTAGGTAACAAATGTCTGAGTTCAAGTACACATGCAAAATTTTGAGATGAAAATGATGCTGCAGAACAAACCATTGCTGGAGTTTGTGACGAAAATACACATGCTGCTGGTCTGAGTTCACAAGAAAAACCTGGAGTTTGTGACGAAAATGATGCTGCAGAATCAGGCCAAGCATATATTTAGGTAACCAAAAAGATGATTGCGTTAAGCAAAAACACAAACTGCTGGTTTGGTATGTGCAAAAAACTGCTAAAGTGAAAACAACCTTGTATCACAAGCATTGACAATCTGAACTGTCAAACCATGATAGCAATGAAAGCATGACAAGCATAGATTTATATGTTGTAGTGTTAATATAGTTAATTCAACAGCTTAAAGGGGATACATTCGAATGGTGATATAGATAAATAAAGTTTGCCAAATTGTGCTCAGTTACAAATCTACAAGACTTTGTGATGAAATTGATGCTGCAGAACACACCATGCATATATATAGGTAACAAAAAACATGTGCGTACAGCAAAAACACAAACTGGAGATGTTATATGCAAAAAACTCCCAAAGTGAGAACAAGGGGAAACACAAGCATTGACAATCTCAAACTGTCAAACCATGATAGCAATGAAAGCATGACAAGCAAGGATTTATATGTCGTAGTGTTAATAATCCAATTCAACAGCTTAAAGGGGGTTACATTCCATTTGTGATAATGTTAAAAAAATGACAAATTGTGCTCAGAATATTTTTCTACATTATCATATATCCCACACCAGTAAACAATTGCACCACAATGTTGGCTGCATTCCTATACATGTTACTCCTTATCTCATTATGTAAATGTTTGGATTACCTCGCCAAAACATTGCATGTATTATCTACTGTTGAAGAATATGAGGTAAAAAAGACAGTCATCATTGCACACGTAAAACATGCATATAGGTAACAGACCTCCTAACCCAGCTCAGTAACAAAAACAAGTGCTCAGGTGATAATGTCTGAGTTCAAATACACATCTGAACAGCTGGAGATGAAAATGATGCCACAAATCCCAAGATTAATATAGTTAAAAGCCCAAAAACCCAGCTCAGTCACAAAAAAAAAACCCAGCTCTGAGTTAAAATACACAACTGTGGCGCTGGAGACATAAATGATGCTGCAAATCAGTACCAAGCATTTAGGAAACAGCACAAAAATCCAGATTCAGTCACAAAAAAAACCCAGCTCAGGTGTAAAGTCTGATTACAAATACACAACTGAGGCGCTGGAAACATAAATGATGCTGCAAATCAGTAACAAGCATATAGGATACAACACAAAAAACCAGATTCAGTCCCAAAAAAAAAACCAGCTCGGGTGTAAAGTCTGAGTTCAAATACACAATTGAGGCGCTGGAGACATAAATGATGCAGCAAATCAGTAAGGAGCATATAGGTAACAGCACAAAAATCAAACTTCAGTCTCAAAATAAAAAAAAAAACAGCTCAGGTGTAAAGTCTGAGCTCAAATACACAACTGACAAGCTGGAGATGAAAATGATGCTGCAATACTTGACATGCATATAGGTAACAACACAAAAACCCAGGTTCAGTCACAAAAAAGACTGGTCACGTGTAAAGGCTGAGTTCAAATACACAACATTTGAACGTGTGGAGATAACAATGATTCTGCAAATCAGGACATGCATATAGGTAACAAAAACAATTGTGCGTAAAACAAGCACACAAACTACAGATGTTATATGCAAAATAACTCCCAAAGTGAGAACATCATGTTACTACTTTTCTCATTACGCTCATGTTGGGATTGCCTCGCCAAAACATTGCATGTACTATCTACTGGTGAAGAATATAAGGTAAAAGACAGTCATCATTGCACACGTAAAACATGCATATAGGTAACAGCCCAAAACACAGTGCTTAAGCTCTTCATCGACAAACATTTATGCAAGTACAATGTAGCTATAACAACATCAGGCTGCAATAAATGCTAAATGCTTGTGGCCAACAACATCATGCCTCGCCTAGACATTGTTAAGCTACATGTAAGCATATAGGTTAAATTTGCATGACCTCATCATAGCACCGTGTAAAAAAAATGCATATAGTGACAGCTTGTCATACCAGCTTGTGATAACGTTGAATGGGACACCTGCATATAATTGCATTAAACCAACGTTCACCTGAAATAAGGCCAAAAAACAATGTCACTTGAAGTACGCATACACATGACTACAACGTAAACAGCACTCATCGTCATACATACGGTTGCATCATAATTCACAAACGTAGCTACAACGCAAACTACCCGAAAAATATACATGCAAACCCACCAACTAGCAGTTCTTACTAAATAACATCACTGCGCTCACATGATGCTCCAAAATATATATCCCACCCATCTCCAAAATGACCCTGTAAATAACAATAGGTAAAGAGATGAGCGAGGATTATTTCTGATAGCTTGCACGAACGTTTAAGCACCGGATCGAACTACGTACCTGAAATGTCAAACTAGCCCCCCCATCTTGCATTTTCTTGAAATTTTCCAACAAAGTTCTCTGGCCGAAGTCACTCTTCCCTATAAAATGCCTTGCCTTGGTTTCATCCTCAAAAATGTGATCATAAAAAAGCTCAAGGAATTCTAGTGGGTAAGTATCCTTGTGCTTGAAGATTGCTTTGGACAATTTCTCTGTCCAGTGCAGATTAATAAGATTTAGAGAATGAGAAAAATGTTTAACTTCCTCAACCATTTGTTGCATGATCTCCTGCTGGTATGGGGCCTTCCTCCCTCTAGCCGAAGGTATTCTTTGATGTTTGTCCTTGCTGGATGACCTAACTTTAGTGTTTTCAGATTGATTATCTTCATCTGCTAAGGTGACTGAGTGCGGGGACTTTTGGGACTTATGAATGCTATCATCCTCATCGTCATCACCTGCAAGGTTAATCGGCTCCTGACCCCCAAATTTCTCCATTGCCGCCTTAGCAAAGTTACCCCGTGCCTGATCATCCCCACAAATGATTGCCAGGTTCTCATAGTGCTTCAGAGGCTTATTAATGTATTCTTTTAGCTTGCTCTTATTTTTATCCTGCACGCATCAATACACAACATTTGAACGTGTAGGAGACAGAATCAAAAGCCAAAAAATATTGTTCGATGGCATTTACCTCATTCCACATATCAAAGCTCTCAGGATCCAACATGATGGTTTGCGTTTCTTCATCCCAACCCGCCCCCACTAATGTCACGAGCAGCCTGCATGTCTTGAAACCAAGAACGAATTGTTTTCATATAGTTTACAACACTCTTCGCTTGAAAGGAAGTACCAAACTTGTTGTTCACTTCAGCGGCAGCCATTGCAAATGCATGTTGCTTAAAGTTTTTGTCTGGCTTAAGACCAGACTTGGCCAAATTTGCGAGGAAGGGTATGAGCACATCATCATGTGCAGTGGTCCACCATCTGGTTGGGCCAACTTTTGCAGTTTCAAGCTCGAGTGGGATTTTTCGTTTCTTATGGGCAACTGATTTGGCTTTTCTTGGTGAACAAGCAGAAGTGGCTACTGCTTCATCCCTGGCAATTCTTTTGTTTTTTCGTGAATCAGAACTAGTTCCTGTAATACTAGCTGGCGAATGAACTTGCCCGGATGAATTGGAGCCTTGAAAATTTTGTGGCAGAGGTTGTGGACTACTGAGCATGTGCATGTAAGATGAGATGGGGTGCTGCAAAGGGAAAAAGTTACCATCGTAGTGAGGCATATTTGAAAAACCTGACGGTGATTGCACAAAGGGCGTGGATGACTGGAACATGGGATTGACACTTTGGGGAAAGCCAATGCTTGCAGGGAACGCATGAGATGTTGCTGGGGCCATTGGATTATTCTGATCGGTGGATGATTTTTCACCCATTGCCTATAGTTCAACAAATTCAGATGCAAAAAGGTCATATGCGAGTCATAACAAGTAATGACAAAGTGGAAAGTATCCTATGATTGCAACAGATCAGTTAACAACATCAGACAAGTACAGATCTCATATGTAATAGATGACATTACAAGCATGTAGTAAGAAAGCTAGCAAGTAATAAATTACCAATTGCATTACTGACCACAAATGGCATAGCAGGCGAATAATAGTTGCGATATTGCAGCGTAAAATACATGATAGTGGGATAAGATTAATGTAATTTGTTGCCTCAAAATGATAAATAACAAACATACAACCACCCGGCAAATGATAGGACAGCAACAGATACTAAGTGAATCATAAATAGATACAGTCGCACAACAGAATTTTAGTCTGCAAGATTTCTCTTTAATAAGGTACACGACCAACTAAGGTAAATTACTTATAAAAACCTCAGGACTACGGTAGCAAATCACAAGGCAGACTCGTGAGTGTCACCATGCCGATATTTACTACAATAATCAATCCACATGTCCAATGCGATTTGATCTCTACGAGACCTCCACTCATCCTTTGAGGCGTTCTGTTCTCTTACTGTCTGGGACTGCGTGAAATCCATAACGTTGCTTTCTTCATTGATTTCCTCTTCGCCGTCCTCCTCTTCAATGTCAGTGGTCTCATTGAGCAATTCATCCTCTGGGTCAACTGTTGCAATGTAGTTATGGAGAACCGTGCACGCCAGAACGATATCAACTTGTGCGGGGAAAGGGTAATGGGGTTTTGATGTGAGAATCTTGAAACGGTTCTTCAATATACCGAAGGTAGCTTCAATCTTTGACCTCAAAGATGAATGTCTAAGATTGAATAGCTCCCTCCTATTTTGAGGTGTTCTCCCCGTAAATTCCTTTAGATGATAACGAACACCACGATACGGGGATATGAAACCCGGCTGGGTTGTGTAGCCCGCATCACACAAGTAATATTTTTCTACACATTACACAGTTTCGTATTAAGATCTGTATAATGGAATAATTATTGAGGAATTTCAATTTGAGTTAACAAGAATTTTACCAGGGTACACCCGTAAGCCATATGGTTGTGGTCTAGACAGAGCATCCTGAAGGATTCTATAGTCGTTAGCCGACCCCTCCCACCCAGCTAAAACATAAGTGAACAGTTTGTTTGGTGTACAAGCCGCGAGAATATTTTGTGTGACACATTTTCACCCTCTGAAACGCGATACAAGTGTAGCAGGTAACATAGCATCCACATGTGTCCCATCTATCATACCTACGCAGTCCTATGGAGTACAACTTACTACGTTAAAGTAATTTATGATTTGTTTAAAGAATTGATTTGGAAAAATGGTAGAGTGGGTGATATATCTTGAAAAATGGATAAAATGATGGGTTGCTTAGGATCTCTGGAGGTACTTCATTCGGTGCTTGTTTCATAAATCGGCCTTGTATGCACGAAATAGCTTGCAGCACTCTATTGAAGTATTTACTGACTGTATCCCCTGATCTTATGAACTGTGTTCTCATCGTCCGATTTTTAGACTTATGTCCCAAAATATTTAAAGTTATGGCAAGTTGCTTCTCAACTGTTACATTCCTTGAGTCCTTTAAGAGATCGAGTTTCCTCATTAACGATGCTAGTTTCATAAATGCAGCCGAGCGCATTCTAACAAAGTTTTGACAGCTATCACTATAACCGTGAAATATTCGTCTCATCAAATCAGCCCTAGTCTTTTCCCTCCTTAAGTTCTCCTCACTTGGACCAGACCGTATTGATCTACGGGGACGTTTGATGCTCCCCAAAAATGTAAAAATTATTACCATGACTGAAAATGCAGCACCAACACACATTCTTTTTACAACCTCTTCATCATCAAAATCACCATCCATCTACAATATTTAGGCCGCAGTTAAATTAGGTAAATAAAAATCCAAATAAACCTTTCACTAACATTCTCCTTTTATTTAGACAGGGCTGGGGTCTTTTAAATAACAGTCTAGAGTACACAAATGTAAAAATTATGTGATTTGAACAAACTTAGAGAGAGAAACGACTGATTAAACAGGTTATGTAATACAAGCAGCTACTTGGAAAATTCCCAATTAACTTAAATTATCATGTATAAGACAAGCTTTCAGGTAGTGGATATAGACATGGTCACGTTGCAATGAACGAAAAAATTAGAGACAGAGCATTGGAGACGCGAAGAGCACGGTAATAATTAGCTCTTTGATGAACGAAAAAGATGCAGTTGCAATGAACAAAAAAAACCCTAAAAATCACAAGGTTAAATTTTAAACTCTTAAAACTTGATGCATGTTACTTATTTAAGGATCTGAGCTCTCTGATGAAGGGATACCTTAAGGTAAAATCGGAGTTGACCTCAAGCAGTGGAACCTGATGGAATCCCCCTTCAAGGACCAAAAATCTACCGGATCAGGTGTAGATCTGGCCAAGCCGCTCAAATGGAAGAAGGTAAGAAGCAGAAATCACCCGAAATCCCCACCGTCGCTGCTGGATCTGGCTAGGATAACACAAACAACCCATGAATGGTCGCTGAGGGCTCATTACCGAGATTTTTCTTCCACCGACTTACAAAAAATTAGAGTCAGAGCATTGGAGACGAGAAGAGGCGGAGCAATGGGGAAGACTGAAGAGAACGAAGAGGCGATGAAGATGACCTAACATTTCCCACTTTTCTCTTCCCCAGGCTCGGAAGAAAACCCAAGGGATTTTTTAATGCCGTCGCTTCACATTTCCCAGCTGTTTTCAGGCCAAAACCAGCTGAAAACAAAATTGGCAAAAGTCCTACGTGGAAGTGGTTTGCAAGGGTACATTTCTCTAAACACGATAGTGAAACGAACAGGTGAAATGGAAATCACCCGAAACCACTTTCCTATGTGGCATCAAAATTTGTTTTCATTTCCCAGTTTTCCAAGTTTTTTTGGGCCAAACGAACAGGCCCTAAGAAGATAGACGTCATAAAGGATGAACACGGTAGGATCCTCACCCAGAAGGCTAAATGTGTGTTGTGCGGCCGGATTTTCCAAGCTCATCATAAGAGTGGCGCCAACCACCTTAAACACCATATAGAAAAACATAACAAAGGCCAGACTCCTCAAGGTGATATCCGACAATCTATGATTTCCCAATCCTCCTCTTCTGGTAGTCTCGATACTTGGAATTATGATGCTGCCCGAGCCAAGAAATGTGTCATCCGGTTTATCATTCTTAAAAATCTTTCTTTTAAATTAGTAAAAGATGATGAATTTAAAGATTTGTTTAGAGATGGTTTTTATCCTAATTTTAAAAAAATTTCTCATCAAACCTGTCAACGTGACATTTTAAAATATTATCGAACGGAACAAGGAAAAATAATTTCTTATTTTAAAAATTTAAACTGTAATTTTTTTTTAACTTCTGATATTTGGACATCTAGAGCACAAACAGGTTATTTATGTATCACAACACACTAGATTGATAAAAATTAGTAAATGTTTAAAAGAGTTATTTCTTTTATTGTAATTGAAGAGTCACATACTAGTATTAATGTAGCCAATTTAATAGTTAAAGAACTTACGAAACTAGAAAATGATTAAAGAATATTTTCTCTTTCACTAGATAATACAAGTAATAACAATGTAGCTGTAGATTTTCTCAAAAGAACTCTGTCATTGCCCTGTCATAGTAAACTTTTTTATATTACAAAAGTAAACATGCACAAACTGTGTCGGCGATCAACCGAAACAGGCAGAAACCCTTCACAGGTTTCTATCTGCTTCGAAACAAATCAAGAAATGATATCATTATTTTCTAAGCATAATATTACCGATATCAACATATATGAAACAACATGAAATAAAATATTAGCATGTAAATATATCGTCGAAACCCTAAACATTTATATACACATGTTTAAACGTTTTAAAAGTAAAAACTTATGATTTAATTCATGATTAATAAATTTTAGATCTGAAATTTGTCAAGGTTATTGTTGTAATCAATTAGAAAATTATGATAATGTATTCTCATTTCATAAGTTATAAAGATCTATCTTTTGTACACTAAAAATACGTTTTTGGCTCAAAAAAAACTTAATAAAATATGCAAAATAAAAGGGTGCAGAGTTGGGTGAGATATTACTCACCTCAGATGCTGAAAAACTCCTGTCATGTGAAAGAGAAGCAATCCCCTTCGCTGCACTGTACAAAACCCGTTGAAAAATCCTCCAAAATCCTGAAAAATCGCCAAAGAAAAGAACTAGGGTTTGAGAGAGGGGAAAAGGGGATGCTAGGGTTTAAAACATAGGAGAAAAAGAGGTGTTTTTTATGTTTAAATATGTGTATATATGACAGCAAACCCGAAAAACTATAGCCCAAAACCCGAAACCCGAAACTGGAAAACCTAGTCTGACTAGAAACATACTCTTTGGTATTTTGACTGTAACTTTCGTATTTGACCTCAGAATGAGGTGATTAAAGATCTGTTAGAAAGCTGCTGAAGATATCTACAACTTTGGTCTTTTAAGTTTTTCCATATTCATAACGTATTAGTATGTAAAATATAAAATCTCTCCAGTGATCATAAATTTCCAGATTTATACATCGAGCATGATTTGTGCATTTGCTCTTATATATATACATATATATATTGAATTGATCTCAAATTAATTCCTAGTATACTAAAACATCATAATATGTTATTTATAAATATATAATATATTTATTATTATTTATCATAAAATATTCAAATTTTTGGGGTTTTACATTCTTCCCCCCTTAAAAGAATTTTGTCCTCGAAATTCAGAAATCATACTTAACTGAAAGATAGTATTATAAAGCATGTCGAGGGTGAACCAACCTACACATACACCTCTCATAATATTAAACTCTTGATAAGCATATAGGGATATTTATACTTAACAATCCAGAATGACTATATTCCCACTCAACCCTTAATCAAATGGAACTAGTACGTTGGGCGAAAAATCCAAACAAGGAACCCCCCATATATATACCATATATTCCAAAAGATTAAGAATTAAGTGGAAATATCCTTATTCTAGCGTTAAATCTAAATATAACCATACAAATAATCACACACATAAATCAATCCACTTCCTTAATAGGTGCAGGTAGTCGCGCTGCATAACATCTTCGTGCTCCCGAGAATTATTCTTGATGTCTACACTTAACCATCTAAAATATAAATACCCCCACTTAACCCCTAACTAAATGGAACAAGTACATCGAGCGAAAAATCCAAACAAGGAACCCCTTATATATATACCATGTGTTCCGAGTATTTAGGAGTTAAGTGTTAATACCCTCATTTTAGTGTTAAGTATAAACATCACCATACATGTAATCCATAAGTTATATATAAGTCATACAAAAATTTAATTTACCTGTTCAAACATGTGTGGGTAGTCGCAACGCATGTCCTCTTTGCGCTCCCAAGAAATCTCCTCAATGCCTCTTCGGTTCCACTGAACTTTCACCAAAGAAATTACCTTGTTTCTAAGTCCCTTGTCCTATCTGGCAAGTATACCAACTGGAATCTCAGTAGTAGTCAAATCATCCCGAATCTCACTCTCTGGTGCAACCAACACTCGCTGTTGCTCCTCATCATGTAAGTGCTTCTTGAGCATAGAAACATGAAATACATTGTGTATACTAGACATCGATGCTGGAAGATCTAGTCTGTATGACATGGCTCCAATGCACTCTAAAATCTAGAAAAGTCTAATATACCTCGGTGCAAAATTTTCCCGCCTTCTGAATCGTTGAACGCTTTTCATGGGCGATACCTACATCATAACTGAATCTTCAACCTGAAACTCTAAAGATCTTCGTCTCTTATCTGTATAGCTCTTTTGCCGACTCTGAACGGCTAGAATCTACTCTCTGATCAATGCTACCTTTTCAGTGGTCTGTCTCACAAGCTCTGGCCCAAGCATCAAGCTATCTTCCGGTTCTGCCCAACATATCGGTGATCTACAAGGTCTCCCATATAATGCTTCGTACAGGGCCATACCGATTGACGCTTGATAACTATTGTTATAAGCGAACTCTATCAGTGGAATATGATACTCCTAGCTGCCCTGAAAGTCAATGACACAAGCCCGCAACATGTCTTCCAACACCTGATTTACTCTCTCCGTCTGACCATCCGTCTGTGGGTGGAATATACTGTTGTATGATAATCTGTTGCCAAAAGAATCCTAGAAACTCCTCCAGAAGTGCGAAGTGAACACTGAACCTCGATCCCATACAATCGTTTCCGAAACTCTATGAAGTCGAACTATCTCCCGAACAAATATCCTCGCATACGTCTTAGCTATGTATGTAGTCTTCACTGGAACGAAATGTGCTGACTTCGTCAACTGGTCCACTATCACCCAAACAGAATCATTCTCTTTCTTCGACTTCGACAACCCTACAATAAAGTCCATATAAATGTCCGCTCACTTCCATTCTGGAATGGGTAAAGACTGAAGTATTCCTACCGGTCTCTGATGTTTTGCTTTCACTTGCTGACAGGTAAAATACTTAGCCACATACTCTGCAATCTCTCTACGCGTACCACTCCACCAGAAGTGTCTCTTTAAGTCCTTGTACATCTTTGTTGTCTAGCCTTCCCCAGATGATACTGAATCGCAAACTCATAGTCCTTGATACTCTCCATCCACCGTTGTTGTCTCTGGTTAAGTTCCTTCTGGAAGAAAAGATACTTGAGACTCTGATGGTCTGTGAACAACTCAAACTGCACTCCAAGCAAATAATGTCTCCATGTCTTCAGTACAAATACCACTGCTGTTAACTCCAAATCATGAGTGGGGTAGTTTTGCTCATGCACCCTCAACTGTCGTGAGATATACTCTACTACC